AAGAAAGAAAGAAAGAAAGAAAGAAAGAAAGAAAGAAAGAAAGAAAGAAAGAAAGAAAGAAAGAAAGAAAGAAAGAAAGGGGTGTCTGCAGGGGAATGGGGCAGCCAGTAAATCCAGACAACCAGCCAATCGAATCTCTGTCTGCTTTGTTCTCTGTGCTGCTGATCTTGATAAATCTGAAAAACCGATGCAGGTGGAGACTTGCTCAGTGGCTAGAGGGGAGACCACCAAGAGATCCCATGACCATAGTCTAGGTTGTAAAATTGGTGGTGGTGGGAAACACCATCAACAAAGCTGCAGCCACGAAAAGACTTAGCAAATGTCAAGCTTCAGTTCAGGAAGTCCTTATTTTGACTCAAACCTGCCACTTGCTTTGAGCGTAGTCCCTTGACCAACGAGGGCCGGAAATATGTCAACGCCTGTGTGCATTGATACCCCCCCCTCTAAAAACAGAAAAGCGGAAAACAACAACCGCTCCCCTTTTTCAGACTGTTCTCACCCAGCCGACTCAGCAAAAGGCTCGCAAGCCATCCCAGGGTTGAGTTGACTCAGCACTCGTCTCGTCTCTCTCTCTTTCCCCCCACGCTCTCCCCAGACCCTCAACCAAAGAGAAACGCCCTGGGTGACGCCAGACCATCCGCTCTCCACCAACCGTTAGAGGTTTGGGCAGGAAAAGGTTATGGGCCAGAAAAAAACGACCGTTCACCACACGATGTTTGCAAAAAAAATAAAAAATCGATCGGGGCAAAAACAACCCCTTCAACGGCTGAGATCTTTCCCGGAAGATAGGAGCCCGAGCGAAATTTGCACCGGGGAGTGTGCGAGGGGAGACTTTAAAAAGTCTTTTGAAATCCAGAAGGGTTTTAAAACTGTTTCTATTGAGTGGCTCAAAAAAAATTATCCTCGCTTAGGCTAAGAACCAACGGGTGAGGACAATTAACCAGTGGAACTACTTGCCTCTAGAAGTTTCGGGTGCGCCAACTCTGGGGGGCGGGGTTTAAGAAGAGAATGGAATAGCCACTTGCCTGAAATGGTACAGGGCAGTGATGATGGCGAACCTTTTTCTTATGGCGTGCTAAAATTGTGTGCACGCCAATCCGATCCTCCCCGCCCACCCGTGCATGCGCACACGACCCCTCCCCAGGCTTTAACTGAAGCCTGGGGAAGGCGAATACGGCTTCCCTCGGCCACCCGGAGGCCCTCCAAAGCCAGAAATGGATTGTTTCTGAACGTCCGTTTGGCCCGTAGGGGGCGTTTTTCGCCCTCCCCAGCTTCAGGAAAGCGAAGACCTCCAAGGTCCCTTCCATCTCTATTCGGATCTAAGGCCTAAGGTTGAGGGACAGTGTTTCTCGACTTTGGCTAATTTAAGATTTAAAAAGAGTGCAGAGAAGAGCAGCAAAGATGATTAGGGGACTGGAGGCCAAAGCATACGATGAACGCTTGCAGGAACTGGGCACGGCTAGCCTAGTGAAGAGAAGGACCAGGGGAGACAGGATAGCAGTCTTCTGATATTTGAGGGGCTGCCACAGAGAG